ATGCATTTAATATTGATAGCTCCTTTGTAAAAGCTTTATTTAGTAAGGTAGAAAATATGATGTAATTAGGTGGGTGTTAAGCTAAAATTCAAATTAATTGAAAATATAAGATTATTTGTAAAATATTAATGAAGTTTCTGAATTTTTTTATCTGTTGATTAGTATTCATCGAAAGAATTATTTTGCTCATTAGAAAAGAAGTTGATAAATAGTTAAATATATAGGAATAACCTTAGTTGACCTTTAAAGGTATGAAGAAGCTCTAAAAAATTATGATCAAACTAAACTATTTCTAATGACTAGAATTCCTCCTAATTCTAATAGTCATATGTACTCTTTCGAGATTCCCCTCAGAAAATTCCTAAATGGCTCTTAATCTTTTTGGACTTAAAAGTATTTAATCAAATCTCTTTAGTTGTTTCATGAGTTGGATTCTCAACTTTCATAATTATATTTTCCTTTCTCTATAATTTTATTCCTTCTTATATTTCTTTCTTTATTCTCTAAGAATATTATTATTAGAGTTTAGCTAAAAATAATATATGGTATCATTCTTCAGTAGGCTATAAGGTAAATTTATTTATTTCAAGTAATTTATTTTATAATGAAAATTTATTCAATACAAAATTATGTATTTTATAACCTAAATTTATTTACTAAAAAGTAATTTATTGTATAATGAAAATTTATAAAATACAAAGGAATTTATTTCATAGGTAAATTTATTCAATACAAAGTAATTTATTTTATAAGATAAATTTATTCAATAACAAGTAATTTATTTTTATAATGTAAATTTATTCATTTAAGTAAATATTATTCATTACATAAAGAAAATATTATTAATGGAAATTTAACTTATTACATAGAAAATATTCAATAATATAATTGAATTCATTACAAAGAAAAAATATTATGTACGTAAATTTAATACATTACAACAGGAAAATATTCCATTGAGGAAATTTAATACAATACAAAGGAAAATATAAATTCAAAAAAATTGATACTAAAATACATAACGTGTCTTATTAATGGAAATTATAGTTATCAGATGTTTAACATGTAACAACAATCTTTTCCCTTATATCTGTTTATTCTTTATGAGTAACAGACTGAATAAACGAAATTTAGTCCATTAAGAGTTTTGTGTTCGTAGAGCAATATAGGAAAATTTGCAATTCATTTATTCTGTTTCCTAATTAAATTGAAATAGAGAGAGATTTTTCAATATTTTAAAAAATTTATTGCCAAGATTAATGATAACTTTATTCTTTATGCATATCTATTATTTATCATATGCACTAATCCTATTAGTATTGATCCCCATGATAACAGCAGTAAGATAAGCAATAATATAGTTATATCAAAAAAAAATGAAGCTATTAAGGTTGATCAGCAAGAAATCTAACTTTGAATTGTGATGACAAATCATTTTTATTAAATATATTTATGTAATTTTAAAGAGTTTATATTTTTACAGGTTATAAATACTTGTTATAAAGCTGACAAAACAGATAATATACAAAAATTATAGTTGACATTGAAAATAATTGAAGTTTTTGAAATGATCTATTTGTTAAATTTTATTTTATCAATAAAGAATCAAACTCTTGAAATTTAAAAGAAGTATTTGATACTTACATTTGAAACCTTGATACTAAGAATAATTTGGATTTAATCCTTCAACCTAGATCATTTTATTTATTTTCATATTGTATTTATTTAGAGATAACTTAGATTTAAGAAAAACATGAAAAAAGTTGAATTTACTTCTTTTATTAAGTTGTGATAAGTTCCCATTTAACACAAGTTCCTGCTGAGCTTCTCTACTCATTAA